CAGCTAGAGAGTTCTCTGGCGATCGTCGCCACACCGGACGCCACCACGGCGACGGATGAGAAACGTGACCAGGAAGCCTTGCGGCTCGTACATGCAGATTAACAGAACCGGGATCGTCCTCTCTCCCAACAGCAAGCGGGTCGTCCTCCGACCCTTCATTCCTCTTCCCGAGGAGCGAACCCTACGAATTATCGCGCGCCTCTCGGCGTTGCCGGAAGCCGAAGTCGGCGCGCTGATAGCCAATGTGCTGGAGGAGTTCCACGGGCGGCATCAACGCCCCAGGGACTTCCTCCTGGCGAGATTCGAGGACGTGCGCGAGCACCTGATCACCGACGCCCCGCTAAGTGAGAATCGCCGGCTGCTGATCGGAGCCTACTTCACCCAGGAGTACGCTGTCGAGTCGGCGGCGCTGTTCAACCCCTCTATCGTCTGGCACCCCGATCAGTCGGGGCTGCCTAAGGGCACACGCCGTTTTGTGCTCAGCATGCGCGCCACTGGGGAAGGACACCTCTCTTCGATCACGTTTCGGTCGGGGGTCGTTGACTCGCAGTGTGCAATCTCGATTGACAAGCCGACACGCTTTGCTACGCCTGCCGACGTCGTCACCGACACCTGGTATCAGAAGACGCTGTTTCTTCGGAAGTTGGCCGAACTCGGGTTGGCGGGCGGGTTCACGAACCGCGTAATGGGCCGCCTCGACAAAGAGTTCTCGCTCGAACAACTCGACGAGGCGCTGGACCTAACGGTGCGTGAGAACCGTATGCGCCACCACGAGTTTGACACGGTTCTTGATGGGATCGTCACGCTCGCCAGGTCGAACTACGAGATCACCTACCTGCCGGAGACAAAGCTATCCGAACGCCTCATCTTCCCGTACAGCCCAACAGAAACAGCAGGGATGGAGGATGCGCGTTTCGTCCGCTTCCAAGAGGAAGACGGCGGCATCCGGTACTACGCCACCTACAGCGCCTATGACGGACGCCTTGTACTTCCGCAGTTGTTGGAAACCGATGACTTTCTTGACTTCAAGATGCACACTCTCAATGGCCCGGCTATAGCCGACAAGGGCTTGGCGCTGTTCCCCAGGAAGATCAATGGGCGCTATGCGATGCTGTCACGTCAAGACGGGGAGAACCTCTTTCTGATGTACTCAGACATGCTGCATTTCTGGCACTCAAAACGGGTTCTGATAAGGCCTACTTACCCTTGGGATTTTGTGCAGGTCGGAAACTGCGGTTCTCCCATCGAGACGGACGCCGGATGGCTGATCCTCACTCATGGTGTCGGCCCCATGCGGAAGTATTCCATAGGAGCCTTTCTGGTGGACCGTGATGATCCATCTCGCTTGATTGGACGGCTGAAGCATCCGCTGTTGACGCCTAATGAGGAAGAAAGAGAAGGATATGTTCCGAATGTTGTGTATAGCTGTGGAGCAGTTGTTCACAACGACCACCTGATCTTGCCTTACGCGATGTCCGACTACGCCACAACTTTCGGCACGATCCCCCTCAACGAATTGCTATCTGCAATAGAACTAGAGTAGTTACTACCGCCTTCAATCTAGGAGAACCAGTCATGGGTGATAAAGGAAGTAAGGACAAAGGCAAAAGAGAGCAGCAAAAAAAGGCGCAGCTTACTCCGAAGGAGAAACGGCAGAAGCAACGAGAAAAGAAGGGCAAGTAGAGCCCACGTCGTTGTAATCACGGTTGAAACGATCCATAGTCCGGTCTCAACGCCTGGCTCAACCCCGTCGCCAGCTGGACATTCGGATGTGCCACCGGCTCTCGCCGCAAGCGAATCACCGAATGAGTATGTATCCGCCGCTGCATTGTCTTCTCGCTGGCACTTTGGTTTTGTACCTTTGGTGCCGCGACTAGATCCCAGCTCGTTACCAATGCGCCACTAATGGTCGTGGAGAATGGCGTCGAGTTAATGGACGGTAACAGCCTCTTTGTCGGTTCAGGCGGCGAGGTAGGTTCCGACGTAGTGGCAAGGTCGGGGAGCCTAGCCGCCGTTGATTTACGGTCACCCGCGAGGCCCTGTCAGGAAAAACTGTCCCGCCGACTGAAATGGGGCTCGCACGACGAGCGGAAATTAAGGATTTGGCGAGCCGATCGCAGGGGCCCGACGCAAATGTGCTTGATCTATTCTGACATGCCGCGGGGTCACCCCATAAATCAACGGGCTGCTAGTTCGGGTCACGGGCGGAACCATCGGCTGGGAGTTCCGTGCCGATGCTGGTAGCGACGTACTTATTTCGGGCGTGCAGGTGTCACCGAGCCTTACCGCCGGGGCGGGAAGCAAGAAATTGACCGAACATCACAATCCAGTTGCAAACAGCGTACGGCGAAAGCCGCATCAGATTATCTGAACTGGTGACTTCAGGACAGGACATGATGAGAAGTTACCAAACCCGTAAGGGGTTCTGGCGAGAGGCAGTTGCCCTTCAGGGGTCTATTACTGTTCATGTCTTGCCATCAATATTGTTCTTCGGCTTGCTTGGTAGCATTGTCTGCGCCGTTGCGTGGTTCACGCAACACATGTTCGACCCTTCCTTCACTCTCGACATCAGGCCACTTGGATTCGCAGGAGCGGTATTGGGGATTCTCCTCGTCATTCGATTGAATGCAGGATATGACCGTTGGTGGGAAGCTCGTACAAAGTGGGGGGGTATTGTCAATCAATCACGCAATCTTGTTATCAGTGCAATGGCTTACGGGCCACATGATTCGGAATGGAGAGAGAATGTGGTTCGGTGGGCTGCGGTTTTTCCGTATGTCGCTCACCTCAGCCTTCGAAGTGAACAGCCATCCGCTGAAACTGGTAATCTCATCGGCATTGAACGTGCAAACGAACTAGCGGAAGCGAATCACATGCCGAGTCTTGTGGCATTACGGCTCGCCGAGTTACTCCAGGACGCTACCGAACGGTTTGCGATGGACGGGTTCGCCTTCATGCAAATCGACCGGGAGCGGGCTTTGTTGATTGATCATATTGGGGCGTGCGAACGAATCTTGGCGACGCCGCTGCCACGAATATATTCCATTACCATCAGACGTTTTATCCTGCTGTTTCTCCTCATATTGCCAATCGCTCTTCTTCATATAAGTGATACGGTGTGGTTAATTCCGGTCATCACCATGCTAGTCGCATATCCTCTGCTAACGCTCGATCAGATTGGCGTGGAACTTGAGAATCCATTCTCAGAAAACAATCTTAGCCATTTGCCGCTTGATGACATCTCGGCGAACATTGAACGAAACCTGTTCGCCATGTCAGAGCTCAAGCCGACGAAGGCCCCATGACTGACAAACGCGAGTTGAGGTATTTGGGAAGCGTGTGTTCTCTCCCGTACCGCTCAACGAACAGATTGCCCGTGTTATCTATGCCGTATCTGAAGATGCTGGACGTATGTGTGTATTGTACGGAAACTGCTGGCGAAGCTACTGAGGGCGAAATCACCGCCGCGATATTGATGGGTTGCTATGTTGCAGAAGTTGGACCAGCCGCCAGCTCTGAGCGACTCGCCGAACTGTAGTTGGTGTGCCCAACCTCAGCGCCTCTTAGCCCAATTCTTCGACGCTCAGGCGTGAAACGCCTACGCGTCATGCTACCGCCAAAGCTCCACCCCCCGAACCACAAACTCCGCCCCGCGAACCTCCACCCGATCCCCCGGCCGTAGATCCGTGATCCGCTCTTTCCCTAGCGGCTTAATCCGCTCGGCCTTGGGCGTGGGGTCGCGCCAGACGATCCAGCCGATGGAGCCGGCGCCGCTCGGCTTGTGCAGTTCCAGCCGGACCGCCCAGCAGTTGGCGAGCGTGGAGTCAGGGCTCGCGTGGGGGTAACGCGTCACACCCTCGGGTAGGGGGAGCGGCGGTGTTCTGACGACGGGCGTTGAGTGGAACGGGGATTTCATGGGGTCGCGTTTGTTGCCACGCGACTCCGCAATGCAAGACGACCACCGCATCTTGTAGTGGCGATAACCCGCCATACCAGACTTAATGTCGCGATGCGCCGGAACTCAGGCGCGCCGCCCCGGTTCGATTGGATGCTGCACGCTCATTAGGGGTCGGGTGCCAACGATCCAGCAAGAATCCCGGCACGGCCCGCCACTGGCAGGTACTATGCCCGAGTTCAGCAAACGCGAGATCGCTCTGCTCGATATTCTAGTCGGCGGAGCTTCAAGCCGAGTCGCTGCGGCAAAGATGGGCCTCGCGCTACGGACCATCGAGCTTCACCGGAGAAAAGTGATAGATAAGCTAGGCGCCGCAACTCCGGTGCAACTCGGCTTCAAGTATGCGGCCTGGAAGAGGCGGAACCAACCCGGCCCGCGTGTCATCCCGGGGGACGGCGCGGGTGACGGCGGGGCGCCGAAACGCTTGTAGCGGTTAGCGACGTGATCTAAGGTTCCGCAGTTCCTGTCGCGGCACCCCGCCGCTGCCTATCCTAGTGCCCATGGACACCCGCCAGGCAGTTCTCGGCGACCCGCGACCACTTCGTGCACAGTTGCTTTGAATTCGCTGAGATAGAGTCTTGCCCCACCTGCAGAGGTGCCCTTTCTCAAGTAAGACCTCTGCGAGTTGCCCGGACAGTTAATCTGCTGAAGCTGGTCCACCAAACCGGAGTTGCAGCCGCTCATTAGTCGCTGAGGTGTGCCCAACCTCAATGAGTTGGAGCCCAATTTACCGACGCGGAAGAGCGAATCTCGGACGCATTTCTTGCGTCCAGCGCCGCAGCCGATCGGTTGGGAGGCTAAATTGGCTTGACGGATCGTACGCGTGGCGCTTTAATGCACCGCACAACCTGAATGCCGACCCGCCGGCTGATAACCGCGGTCCCTTGCCTTCGCTCTTTGGAGCTCGCAGGGGGCCGCGGTTTTTTTGTTGCCCCGTGGAGAAGTTGGGTATCTCGCCAGGCTCATAACCTGGAGGACACTGGTTCGAATCCAGCCGGGGCCACTTGTTTCCGCCGCCCGTTCCGCCAATTGGAGCCGCCCTGCCATGTCCCCCGAAGCCCAAGCGTTCAGCGTCGCCGTACTGTTCCCCGACCGCGCCGCCGTCAAGCGCGCCGTTGATCTGCTGATCCCGATGGCCCGCAAGGCGGCCGAGCAGACCGACACGCTGGTCGACGACGCCGCGGTCGACATGCTCGAGGCCCTGCACAAGTCTGAGCTGGCCCAGGAGTGGGTCGCCAGTGAGGTGAGCCGCCAGGACCGAATCCCCGAGGGCGCGCTGGCGGTGGCCGTGATGCCCGACGCGGTGAAGCAGGACCTGGTGCGCCAGCTGCCGACCGCTGATCGCCGCGAGGCGTTTCTCAGTGGGGCGCTGCTCGAGAGGGCGTTGTCGTGGGGCCTGCCGCTGTTGCTGCAGATCCTGGAGCGGGTGTTCACCAAGTAGGCAGGGTCGCGGCCGGCGCCCCCCGGGCGAAACAGGGGGCGCCGGCCTTCATCCCCCACCGAGGGCCACGCGATGACCGCTCCGCAGCAGATCCTGGTTTGCGGCAACAAGGAGCCGGCCAGCAACCGGCTCGCCCGGTGGGACAAGACCCCCTGGAACGGGACCGGCTGGATCGGCGAGCCCGTGGCCGTGCAGCTCACGGTCCACGCGCCCGACTGGTGCAAGCTGGCGACGATCTGGGCGGTTCGCGAGTGGATGAAGGTCTGCGCCCTCGAGGTCGAGTGGGAGAGCAACCCGCGGGCGGCCAGCGTGAACATCGGCCAGGGGCCGATCGACGGCCCGAGCGGCACGCTGGCGTACATGCACCTGCCTTACGGCCCGGACAAGCAGCTCGACGGCAAGGTCGACACCAGCGAGAGCTGGCACAAGGACCCCGACAGCAGCCCCGGCCGCGACATGATCCACCTGGGCGCCGTGCTGTGCCACGAGTTCGGCCACGCCCTCGGCATCGAGCACGTGCCGACGTCGCAGGGCGTCGCGCTGCTGAACCCCATGTACCGCCCCGACGTGCTGCGTCCGCAGACGCTGGACGCCGAGCAGGCGGTCTACCGGTACGGGCCGAAGCTGGCCACGCCGACGCCCGACTCCGGCGACCCCGAGCCCGGCCTGGCGACGATCGAACTGTCCGCCGCGCTCGCGGCGGGCGTCTACCAACTTGTGAAGCAATGACCCGAGCCATGCTGCCAATCGCAATGCTGCTGGCGGTCGCGGCCACCCCGGCGACCGAGGCGGAGGCTGCGCTGGCCCACCGTCGGCAGTTCCCGCCCGCGGAGTGGGGCTACCACTACTACCTGAGCTGCGCGGCCGCGGCGCTTGAGTACCAGGCCGACCTGGCTGTCGCGGCGCGGCTGATGGTGGCGAGCAGCTAGCTGCAGCCGATTGTCGAGCGGTGCACGCCGCAGCATGTGACGCCGACGCTGCTGCAAATCGACCTGCGGGGCCTGCAATGGTCGGAGGGTGCCAGCCTCTCGGTGGATATCGCAGCCGGCAGGGCGGTGGCGGATGCGATCCAGGCCAAGACCGACAACCTGCCGGCCAACCCGGCAGACGTCTCGGACGTCCCGACGGCGTCGCAGATCGAGGCGGCGCTGATCAACGAGGGGGATGGACAGCAGCTGATCGACGCGATCCTGACGGTGATCAACAACAGCCTAGACGTGCCGGCGCTGGAGCTGGCGGCGATAGCTAGTGCGGTGCGGGGTGGACTGGCGATGGAGCTGGGGCGATTGGACTCGGCGGTTTCGTCGCGATTGGCGGCAGCTGGGTATGTGGCCCTGGATAATGCGGGGATCTCGACGGCCGCCACCGAAACGGCGGCAGCGAGCACGGCGGCGTCTGCCCTGCAGAGCGTTGTGAGCGGAATAAGCAGGTTGGGTAGTTGGCTCGGTCTGCTGGCGGGCAAGGCCGCAGATGCGGTGACGCTGTCGGAGCTGCAGGCCACTACCGGCGTGGCAGGGTACGACAACACCACCGACAGCCTGCAGGCGGTGCGCGATCGTGGGGACGCCGAGTGGACCCGGGGCGGGAGTGGCGGCGCGACACCGTTCCTTAACCGCAAGCCGAACAGGATCATCGACGTCAGCTCCAAGGCGGACGGCTACCTGACTCAAGGGCGGGTGCGCATCGTGCGTGGCGCGACCTTGCTGGTGGCGCTGGCGTACCCCGACCCGGATGACTGGCTGTCGGGGATGGACCTGCCGGTCTCGCCGAACACCGACGAGCTGACGATCGACGGCGAGGCGTATGGCGTGAACCGGAACTGGGCGATGGTGGAGGTGACGTGTTCCGAGACGGCCGCGGTGGGGGGAGAGGTCTCGCTGCCGGTTGTGGTCCAGCCGGAGGTTGGGCTGAGCGACCCGCGGAAGATCCTGTTTGAGGTGATCAACCCGAGCCAGTAGGAGGCGTGCTGCATTGGCGTAAGTCGTTTCGCGACGTCGGGCCCGAGGCGACGTAAGTCCTTACAGAACAGGGGAGGGGGGCCTTGGGGTCCTTCCCAGACGACCCCCGTGGGGGCTCCGCCCGGAGCGATCGACAGGTTTTTTTACGCGGGGCAACTGCGAGGGCTGCGGTAAGTAATTTTGACGCCTGCGGGCGGCGGTGGGGTGACCGTGGTACATGGGAAAAAAGCAGCAGCGGGCCGCGCAGGCGGCAACGCTGAGCGAACAGATCGAGCAGCAGGAGCAGGCCGAGCTGCTGCGCAGCGCCAAGGCGAAGGGCTTCCGCGGTCTGAGCGGGGCAGAGAAGGCCGCGGTCCGAAAGAACGAAGAGTCGACCCTGGTGCGGCAGATGGGGTCGGTCGGCAAGACGCTGTCGGCCTGGCTGCTGGACACGCAGAGCAAGCAGATCCGCGATGCCATGCGGAACCGTTGGGTTCCCCTGGCCGGAGGGGAACAATGAACGCGTCAACCTCATCGAGCTGCTGCGGTGGCTCTGGCGGTACTTCATCGAGCACCCGCTCCCGGATGCGAAGCCGGTCGGGCTGACCGAGGACGACGTGCTCTTAGTCGACGCCCCGCAGGAGTTCAAGGACGACTTCCTGCGGCAGCGGACTGTCGAGCGGCGGCTAGTCATCCAGCAAAAGGAGCGCGAGCTGCTGCTGGCCCGCGAATAGCACAAGAGCCTCCGCAAGGACCGCTTCGGCGCCGACAAGAAGTACGTCGCGGTCACCTGCCAATACGACGTGCTCGACTGGCTTGAGCCGGACTGGGTGTTGCACATGAGCAGCCAGCAGCTGGCAAGGGGGCGGCTTCGACGTTTCCCCGACGGGCGACCGCCTATTGAGCTCCAGGTCGCTCCGGTCCACCGTGGCGCCTGGGAGCTGTTTCGGCGGCATCACTATCTGAACACGTCGATCCAACGCGGCGCCTCCTGCTACTGCGCGTTCTGGCCGCAGCCCTCGGGCGCCTGGGAGCCGGTCGCGATCTCCGCGTGGTGGCGGGCCATGATCCGCGGCAACGTGCGGAAGGGCATGTGCGAGCACCGAGCGGTGGTGCTGCCCGACTACCAGGGTGTGGGCATCGGCAACCGGCTCAGCGAGTACTGCGCGAGCCTCTACGCTTCGCAGGGGATGCGTGTCTACTCGACCACTGGTCATCCGGGCATGATCCGCTACCGGGCCGCGTCGCCGCTGTGGGCCTGCACGCGTCACGGCCAGCGCCGTCGACCAGGTCCGGTATCCTGGCCAAGAGGTGCGAGTCGCAGGGATTGCATGCTAGCGCGGCCAACTCCCGCGGCCGGATCGCGTTCGAGCCGATTGATTCTTAGCGCCGGCGAAGAAGATTGCCCACGGACGTCCTGACCGCCCAACGACTTCCGCGGAGGGGTAACAGCGGGCGATGCATTCGCCATGAGCGTAGCAACTGCGTCGGTGTGTCGGTCCGGCGCAGGTTGGAGCGTGCTCGGGTAGCGGATTAGTACATCCAAAGGAAACCTGCCGAGGTGAGGTTCACCGCTGCGTGTTCGCGGTCCATGTTCTCTGCTGAAGTCGATGCAACCTCAGCAACTCTAATCACTTCTCAAATAGAGCGGTGGTACCAATCTCACTGTGTTGGGCGTCGCGCGTAGGTCCTGAAGTTGGTCCAGCTGTGGCCCAACTCGGACGTTCGTCGCCACCAAACCGAGGAGTCGGCGGAAGTTCGTACCTGAGGTGCGTTAGGCATGCGTTACTCCTGAAAGCGTGAGTCGCCCTCTCTGGTTTCCACCGTTACGCAGAACTAGTCGTCAGGCTTCACGATGGACGGATCGATCTAAAGTAAAAACAAGCTAGTTTCCCACGCAAGCATTAGTCTGATGGGATCTCAAAGCCCGGCCTGGGCTGGCGGGTCATCATTGCCGCGGCTTGCTCATCGCCCAAGATTTGCTCGCTCTGGGGGTCCCAGGTGATCTTACGTCCGAGCCGGGCGGCTATCGACGAGAGGTGGCAGACATTCATCGTCTGAACGTGCGAGTAGACGTCCGAAACGGGCGTGCCCCCCTCACGCAAACAGCGGTAGAAGTTCTCCTTGTGGCCTTCGAACGGCTTGCCACGGTAGAGGGCTCGAAGTTGTTCATCACCGAACTTGCCTTCATCCCAGCTTTCGTCGATAGGCTTGCCGGTGATCCGGCCGCGGTTGACGAAGATGCGACCCTTCTCTCCTTCAAAGAGTATCCCGTTCCGGCCACGGCTGGTCAGGTGCAACTCCAGCCCATCGTCAAACTTGCTGATCACGTTGAAGTCGTGGGACGTGTTGTAGCAGTCGTGGACTGTCGGGTAGCCGTCCTTCATCGGGACAGGGTGCTTCGCGTCGGAGCCGTCCACCTCCACGGGTCCCGAACCCAGCTTGTCCAACTCCAGGGCCCAGAGAGCGATATCCACGTGGTGGGCGCCCCAGTCGGTGAACTTCCCACCCGAGTACTCGTACCACCAACGGAACTCGTAGTGGCAGCGGCGAGGCATGTAGTTCCTCAGCGGCGCCTGCCCCAACCACATGTACCAGTCGATCTGCTCCGGCGGAACCTCCGGCGTGAAGGGGCCTCCGGTCGGGCTCCCGTCGACACGGGCGGTGACCCTGTGCACCCGTCCGAGCAAACCCTGCTGCACTATGTTGATTGCACGAAGGAAGCGGTCGCGATCGCTTCGCTGCTGAGTGCCGATGAAGAACACCAGGTCGGGGTGGCTCTGGCAGGCGGAGCGGATCAGCTTGTTCTCCTCGAGGGTCAAGGTAAGCGGCTTCTGGCAGAAAACGTGCTTGCCGGCCAGCAGCGCTTCAACCGCTATCTTCACGTGCCAATGGTCGGGCGTGACGATGCTCACCACGTCGATGTCGCTGCGGTCCAGCACGCGTCGGTAATCTTCGTACGCATCCGCACGCCCCCTGCCGATTCGATCGTGGTGCTTGGCCCTGAGGCAGTGGTGCGAATCAACATCACACACGGCTATCACATCACCAAACTTCGCGTGTTCCTGGGCGTCACCGGTTCCCATGCTGCCGGTGCCGATGCATCCAATGCGGGGACGATCGTTGCTTGCGAGATTCGCAAATGCGGGTTCTGTCCATGAAAAATAGGGGACCGTCGCGACGGCGCCAGCGGCGCCTACGAACGAGCGACGGGTTGGTAGCGGGCGTGATTGGAAAGCGTTATTCATGGAAGAAACCCCAACAGGTCAAGAGAAAGATCTGGTGTCAGGCTTGCGCACTGCCCAAATCTGAGTACCGCTGACTGGCCTGGCGCTGCGTCGATGCCAGAGACCCCACTAATAGTCTTCCCTTGCTATTCCGACGCCCCAGTCTGGTTGACGAAGAGCAGCGGCGCAAACTCTCTTAAGCTCCGTCGCCAGGTCAACCACTCGTGGGCCGTGTCGGGAGAAACGTAGAACACGCTGTTCACGCCCGCCTGCTTGAGCGCCTCGACGTGGGCTTTGGGGTCGCCGCCGCGGCGGGTGCGGCCGCCGTCGATCTCTCGGCTGCCGTAGCTAACGAAGACCAGCCTGACCTTTTCCTTGAATCTCTCCGTGTCTTCGACGTCCTCCATCGAGATCGATCCACCACTAAAAAGACCGATGTGCGAGAACGCGTCGAGGTTGCGCAGCGTGATCAGGCGGGTCTCCATGCCGCCCATCGAGAGCCCGGCCATCGCCCTGTTCGGTTGATCGGTCAGCGTTCGAAAGTTGGCGTCGATAAAGGGGATCAACTCGTCGACCAGCACGGTTTCAAACGGCTCAATACTGAAACTGCTCAAACCGCCAAATCGGACCTCGTTCGTCATCCCGTAGGTCATGACAATGATGAAGGGGCGGGCTTTGCCTTCGGCCATCAGATTGTCCATGATCAGGTTGGCGTGCCCCTGGACGCCCCAGCCGTATTCGTTCTCGCCCCAGCCGTGCTGGAGGTAAAGCACGGGGTAGCGCTTCTCTGTGCTCTGCTCGTACCCGGGCGGAGTGTAGACAAACGCTCGGCGGGTCGTCTTCGTGCTCTCCGAGTAGAAAAGCACCTCCCGGAGCTGCCCGTGGGGCGTCTGCTTCACGGCGTAGAAATCTCGGTCGTGCGCCGGGACCTCCACGCCGCTCCCCCACCGCATCGCGCCAAAGAAGTACTTGCTGCCGGGATCGGGGACCTCGGCGCCGTCGATACTGATCGTGTAGTAGTGAAAGCCCTCATCTAGCGGCCGCGTGAAACCCGTCCAGACTCCTTCTTCGTCCTTCTTGAACTCGCTGCTGCCGCGGAAGCTGCAGGACACAGTCTTGGCCAAGGGCGCCTTGATGCGAAACATTACCCGGCCTTCGGAGTTAACCTTGGGAAACTCGCTACCGGGCTGATTGGTGGACGCCGGCTCCCAGTCGTCGACCGGCTGATCGCCCTGTGCGCTGACGCTCGACGTGAAAGCCACGGCGAAGAGCAGCGCCACGAGTGCTCTATGGATGCTGTTCATTGATGCTACCCCTGTGGTCGGCTTCGGAATGGGAATCAGCACGCGTGGCGGTCCGAATCACCGCATCAAACGCGGGCTTGGGCTGACTAGCCCCGTCGAAGAGCAAGGGCCTGCCTCTGGATCGCCAGGAGTTGGCGTCGTTGGCGCCCCAGAACGTCACCACGTCGAGCTTCTCGCGGTGCTTGACGAAGGCTCGGAACACCCCCTCGTACGCAATCGCCAATCGCTTGTCCGCATCGGCCACAAGACCGCCTTCTGTCGCAGCGGCGTTGCCGGTGATATCGGCTCTCGTGTCGCGCTGACCCCGTCGCGCGCTGTTGATGTCCAACTCGGTCACATGAATGGGCAGGCCAAGGATCTCCAACTCCGTGAGTGTGCGGTCCATGTTCTCAAAACTGGCGGAAGACACATTGAGGTGGGTTTGGGTGCCGATCGCCATCACCGGAGCGCCCTCGGCCTGTAGCGACTGAACAAGCTTGATGAGCTTGCGTCGCTTGGCGGGGTCCTCGAGTCCATAGTCGTTGTAACGGAGCACCGCGTCGGGGTCCGCCTCGTGCGCGTACTGGAACGCCTTGGCGATAAAGTCGGGGCCGATAATGTCGAGCCACAGCGACTCTCGCAGGACTGCGTCCCCCTGATCCGAAAGGGCTTCGTTGACTACGTCCCATGCTTTGATCTTTCCGCGGTAGCGGCCAACGACTGTGTGGATGTGGTCGCGCATTCGCGCCAAGAGCTGCTCACGCGTCGCGCGGGGACCACGGAACCTGGGGCGCCGGAAGCGTCTGCGCCACGGCCCTTCCGCGTCGTCTTCGGGCCCCGTTCGCCCATCCGCTTCCACTTCATCTTCCGACGAGCCGTCGCCGGTGAACACCCAAAATGGCGTCTGGCTGTGCCAGACGAGCGTGTGGCCTACGAGGTACATCTTGTGGCGTTTGCCAAATTCAACGAACTGGTCGGCGGGCCCCCAGTTGTAACCATCGGGTCCCTCGTTCGGGTGGATAAGGGCCCACTTGAGGTCGTTCTCGGGCGCAATATTGTTGAACTGCTCAACTACCAGCTCTCGGTCACGTTCGATCAGCTCCGGTGAGCGACGGCCGAAACGATCGCGAGCAGCCATCCCCGCCGCGATCCGACGATTCACCGCGGCGCCTACAGAAAAACAGTCGTCGAATACTCCCTTGAGTGTTGCAGGTTCGCCAGCCTGCGCCGACACTGAGGCACTGAATAGGAAGGCGAGCACTACGCCTGCCGCTACTGCTCGGCTTTGGTAGCGTCGTGTCGGGGGGAAGATTGATCGCGCTAACAATGGACCTACCTTTCGCCTCCCAAGAGGCTGGCGTGAACAGGGTCCGCGACGGGACAGTGTGTTGCTCGCGTGCGGGATCAAGCTACTGCCCGGTGGCCTGAAAGAGCTGCTGCGCAAACCAATAGAGGCTCTTGCTCCAGTGCTGCGGGTCGTGGCCGTGGGAGTCGACGTGCCAAATATGCGGCACGTCGTTCTCTGCCAGCCGACGGTGCACCCCTTGGCTGATGTTGATAAGACCGTCTTTGTTGCCGCAGCTCAGCCACAGCAGCTTCAGTTTCTCGCGGGTCGTGGGCGGGTCGGGGATCAGCTCGGCCGGCGGCTCCGTGTTTGGCGCTGAAGAGAACCCGCCCACCCAAGCAAAGGTGTCTAGGTTGCCCAAGCCGAAGTTGAGCGATTGCCCGCCCCCCATCGATAGACCGGCCAGCGCCCGGTGCTCTCGATCGGGAATCGTCGAGTAGCGCGCCTCGATCGTTGGGATGACGTCGCCCAGCAGGTCGCTCTCGAACTTCGCAAACGCCGGCGCCGATTCAAAGACATTGCCTTCCGCGCGATCATTCTTCTGGGCGCGTCCGTTGGGCATGACCACGATCATCGGCACGGCTTTACCGTCCGCAATCAGATTGTCGATGATCACGTTGGGCTTCGCGAAGCGCTGCCACTCCGTCTCGTCACCGCCGATGCCATGAAGCAGATAGAGCACCGGGTATTGCCGCTCATCCGAGTACCCGGGCGGAGTGTAGACATTCATTCTCCGGGTGGCGCCCACTGCCTTCGAGTCGTACTCGATCATCTCAAGCTCGCCGTGTGGGACGTCGTCGCGTTTGGCCATAAAACCAGCGGGCGGCTCCTCGAACGCGGGCTTGTCGTCGGGGTCCAGTTCAATAGGCCCGCCGAAACGAGCGCGGTCCCTGCCGCCAGGGCGCCGCCGACGAGGCCGCTCGCCGGTCGCCTGGGAGGGCTGGGGCGATGCCGAGGGCTGCTGCGTCAGCAGCCCTAGTCGGTAGGGCAGCAGATGATAAGGCCCGCCGCTGTCCGCGGAGCGGCCCTGGAACAACAATCGCATGCCCGTGGGATCGATGGTCGGTGTCTGGTCGTAGTTGTCTCGGAGCAGCTCCCCGTGGCTGATGTCCCGAGTCCAGGGCTCGACTCCTTCGTCGAACTCGACGTTGTTAATGCCCGCAAAAGGAGTCTCCCAGGTGTCCGCGCCCTCGAGCGGCGTCCACTCGCCATTCAAGTCTTTCGCGATCCAAGCGCTGTAATACCGCGCCGGGCTCAGCGCCTCAATGATTGTGAGGTAGGTGTCGGCGCCTTTAATCTTGTAGGTCATGCTCCCCTCAAAAAGATGGTCCCGGCTGTCGTCGATCGCCACCTCGGGGTCGCTCATGCCGTTTGGGAAGTCCTCGATCCTCGTCCGGCAGCGGTAGAAGCGGCCGTTGTCCCCGGTAAAGAACAGGTAGGCGTGGGTGTCGTCGCAGATGATGTGGTAGTCGATCGGCAGGCGCGGCGAACTGCGGGGCATCCGATCGAAGAAATTCTGCGGCGCGGTCCAGGTCTCGGGTTTAGACAGGTCGTCGGTGGTGCAGTACTGGGGCTGCTGCGACTGGAAGACGAGATACCACTTCTCGTGGGGCTCGAAATAGAACACGTGGGGCGCGCAGTGATAGCCCCGCAGCCCCGGGTTCACATCAATGTAAGTCAGCGGCGCGTCCGGAGCGTCGGACCAGTCTTTGAAATTGAGGTACACCATGCTCCATGTCTTGGCCGATGTCGAATAAGCCGTGGCGTAAACGTGCCAAAGGCCGTTGTGGCGCACAACCGTGGGGTCTTTCACCGAGACGATCTCGTGAGTCGCGTCGGACACGGGCGCGATCAGGACGCCGCTCGATTTCCAATTTAATGGGGTCTCTATCTTGGATTCGGCCGCCTGGCCAACGCCGCCCCGCGCCGGTTCCAGACTGGTTTGGCCGGAGGCGGTTGCCCCGAATTGAAACGAGAGCACAGACGCGACGAAGATTGTCGCTGACGCGCGATAGAGCATCGACAGACACATACTTCTGATCCTCGGCAAGAACGGTAAGCTCAGGAAGGCGGACTCAACAGAGCGCCCATACGCGGGTGGTTGAACCCTGGGGTGACGAGACCTCGGAGCGTAGCCTCTTCAAAAATCAAGCGACCGGATTCCCCCATCAAGAGTGGGCCTGATAAGTTGGGGCCGCATTGATTGAACCCACGCTTCGGCAAAAAGTTCCTCTCTGCTTACGCACACGGTCGATGCACGTCGCGTCTACCGACTCATCACGCTGGCGAGGCGATTCAGGTTGGCAACGAAGGATTCCGCTTCATCGACGCCCACCGCGGAGAGGATCATCTCTTGCACGGGCTTGAGATTGTCAGACAGCTTCAAATAGACCTTGCGCCCCTTGCTCGTGACCGTGACCTTCCACGCGCGCCGATCTTTCTCGTGCGACTCCCGGACCAGGATTCCGTCGCGTTCCAACAACAGCAGCGTAGCGCTGATTGTGTTTGCGTCTGACGAGGCCCGCTCGGTCAACTCCCGTTGGGTGACGCCGTCTTCCGTACAAAGCACAGAGAGCACCACATACTGGAACGGGGTGAAGCCGAACTCCGACAGCAGCGACTGTGTCTGCCGGTGCATCGTCAGGTAGGCCGCCCGCAAGCCCAATGCTATATCGTGCCCTGTTGTCATTGAGCTCCGCCTGTGCAATTACGTGCACGTATTAAAACTGCTGGACAAGCAAGAGTCAATCATTTTCGGCCCGTCATTGGACGTGAGTGGCGCCGCCTGTATGCAACCCAGCGGGTGTTCTGCCCATGCCATCGCCGTCGGTGCAGACTGGAAGCGAAGGTTCACGCCGGAACGGCCCGGCGAGGAAACCTCACGCTACAGCATGCTCTCCGAGTTCATGGCGAGTTCACGATCTGATAAAGTGGAGGCGTCGCGCCGAAGGCGACTTCCGCCTGCCAGCGATGCCTCATCAAATCCGCAGGAACAACGATGCCGCTAATTGCCTCACGCCGCTGGCGAACCCTTCTTTATTGCTGGGGCGTGCTGACGGTTTCGGCTGTCATCACCTCGACTGCGCCCGGTCAGGAGAATGCTTGGCGAGAAGAAGCTAACGAATCCATTCGCAAGATCCGCCAGCGAGAGATCCGGATACGCGTGACCGACGAGCACGGCGCCCCAATTGCCGGTGCAGATGTGGAAGTGAGCCAGAAGGCAATGGCGTTCCCTTTCGGGGCCGCCCTCAGCCCGACGGTGCTGAACGACGCCAACTACCAAGAATTCTTCCTAGCGCACTTCAACTGGGCTGTCTTCGAGAACGAGATGAAGTGGTACAGCAACGAAGGGGGACGCGGGCGGGAGAACTACGCGCGTTCCGACGCGATGGTTCAGTGGTGTACGAAGCACGGAGTACCGCTAAGGGGGCACTGCATCTACTGGGCGCCCGAGAAATGGCAGCCTCGCTGGCTAACGTCGCTCACAGCGGAAGAGCTACGTCACGCCGTGGAGCAGCGTGCACAAAGCATTGTGAGCCGCTATCGAAAGGATGTCGTCCACTGGGACGTGAACAACGAGATGCTGCACGGCTCGTTTTTCGAGGAACGGCTCGGCGAAGATATCCGCCCGTGGATGTTCGAGCGTACGCACGCACTGGACCCAGACGCCAAACTCTTTGTAAACGAGTTCAATATCCTCACCGTTGACAAGGACTTCACGGAAACCCAGGTCGATCAGTACGTCGAACAAGTCCGGACGCTGATCGCCGCCGGGGCGCCGATTAATGGCGTAGGCGTGCAGGGCCATGTCTGGTCCGCCAACGCGGTGAAGCACCCCGAGGCGATCAAGAGCAATCTCGACAAGATCGCCGAGCTCGGGCTTCCGATTTGGATCACCGAGTTCGACTCCGCGTTCGAGGACGGCGAAATGAATGCGGACGCACTAGAGGCGGTGTATCGCACGGCCTTCGGGCATCCTGCTGTCGAAGGCGTCGTCATGTGGGTATTCTGGGCGGGGAATTCTTGGCGTGGCGCAAACGCGGGGTTAGCACACCGTGACTGGCGACTCAACGCCGCCGGTGATCGGTATGAGTCGCTGATGGCCGAATGGTCCACCGAGTTCTCAGGTACGACGGACAGCGATGGTTCGCTCGGCCTTCGTGGCTTCCACGGCGAACACGCAGTAACGGTTCACACTGGGTCGTCTACTTCAACAGAGGAAAAGATCCACGTCTTGCCTGAAAAAGAGCCCCTTCGAATTGTTCTGACCGTGCCCGGTGAATAAGTCACCTTGTTTGACGGCCGCAACATCCACCGAGAAGAACGAACACTTCACCGTTCAGATGGAAGGAGCATCTTTACCTCTAGATCGTCGATCTGGAATTCGAGTTGACCGAATTCAAAGCAACCGAGTCCGTAGAGCTTGCGAAACGCGGTCGGTGAGCCCTCCTTTCGTCGCCTTGACGGCACTTGAAACTGGACTTGGCACAGTTCCGAGTGCGTCGGCAACGCTCTTAAAGGACGGGCGTGTTTTCAACAGGAGTCTGGCGGCCAAGTTTTTCCGGAGTCTCAGCGTAAGCTGAATCGAGGCCTGATTTCCGTAGCGTTGCAAGAGCCGACTAACTAGCGTGGACGATACGCCTCATTCTGTCGCTCCTCACAGGAGGGTGACGTGGTTCATGGATTTGCCGTGATGTGCTCGACGTAGCGCTGGTAGACTGCGCAGGACTCGCCACTCATTTCGGCTACACGCTGCTTCACGCTAAACAGCTGCGATACGAAGCGGTGGCCGGATGTATCAGGGCCGCGCTGATCAACGCATTCAATCCCCTCCAGAGTAGCCAAACGCTGAAGTTGGACCAGCGGCCAGGAGTTACGCCCGAGTCAAGTGCGCTGAGGTGTGCAGCAGCTGTGCGAGTTAGAGCCCGCCCCAATTGTGTACCGGCGTGAAGTACCTGCGTATCGCAAGACACGGTCGGACGCCATGCTCACACGCGGTAACGGGTGAGCATCCTTGTTGTTGCATCTCCGTCTAACATGCGTAGCCGCTGTCGCGTGTAGGCATGACGCCCGGCCCGTGGAAGTTGCTTCTGACGATGAAGCCAACGCGTGCTCATCATGTAACTTTCACGCAGCAAGTGCGAAGGTCACCTTCGAAGTATCGCGAGATTGCGAGTCGCGGTTTTCCAAAGGTATCTGGTGTGGCTGTGCACGATTGATGTCGCGATGGCGGCGTCAGCGATTAGAGACGCTGGCGGGGCAACACCACGTTTCCAGTCTTGAATTTCGCCGTATAGCCACATGAGTGATATTCCAGCCCAGGTTACGAAGAACAGCGTCGCCAACATCCATAGCCCACGTTCAACCCGGAACTTCGCAAATATTTCAGCAGAGACCGCAAACGCAGCCAGTTGGAAACACGAAAGCAATCCGGGGACGTCAAATTGGCTACAAACGAAGCACCCAATGAATGCTGGTAGCATGAGCACAGGTAGCCGCGCCGTCACCAGTTCTGGGTCGCCACGAAATAGTGCATGAATCATGTCGCGAGGAAGTTCCAGGTGGTTGGCGGATTCCTTATTAACAGAAAGTCTTAAGGACGTATCAAGATTATTCAGCGTTGCTGGCAGATTTGCGCAACATGCGTGGGTGTGAAACTTCAACGCAGGCAATGCCTCCCGCCTGGCCCTCCCCAACGCCGGCTCGAGAATCTAGCCCTAACCTGTACAGGACGATAGATCCTGCGCACTTTCGGTTATCCCGAATCTGACCGAAGTTGTGACAACCTCAGCGACTTCGGTGAACCGGGTGGTGCCCGAAGTCGTTGCAACCGACGCCGGCTTGAAGGACCAATATCTACCGTCGGCTTTTGAAGTAGCAGTTCCTTCTGCCGGTCATTGCACCCTCTGCCCGTGTCCCAGCTGCTCTGAATTGAGTCTTGCAGACACCGCGCATTGATCGGCTCGGCTTCCGCCAACTTCGCGAGGCGATTAAGCATCATGTGCAAGTCGCACAACGATCCTGGCCCACGCGTCCCCGTCGATGCTCCTGCATCGAGTAGCATCTGGATCACAAGGAATGGTCACTTTGGCGTGGTTAAGACTTTCGGGGGTGGGATTGATAGTTTTCGCGGCGAGATTGTTGACTCTCCGAAGTCGCAGGACCAGAATCTAAGGCGTTCAGGCGCCCTTGACGAATCGGCCAATCTCCTTCTTTCCGATTCCGTCAAGAATCGCGGTCCATACTCGCAACCTGGGAGATACAACGATGACCGCAGTAGTCAATGTTGCTGTGCAGGTAGTCCTGACGATCGCCACGGCGTTACTACTTGCCGTGCCGTGCCTGGCCCAGCAAATCACTGGCACACCGGGGTCGCCTGCTGCGACTACGACCATCGACGGCAAGCAGCTTCCCGCGCCGGCCCCAGAATTCGGCGGTGTGATTAAGGACGACGCACTGAGTTCCAAACCGTGGTGGCCGCCCCGCGTGGTGCCGCCCAAGGGCTCGCCGAATGTCCTGCTCATCCTGACCGACGACGCCGGCTTCGCCGTGCCAAGCACCTTCGGGGGTGTGATCCCGACGCCCACGATGGACCGCATCGCAAAAAGCGGCCTACGTTTCAACCGCATGTTTTCCACATCGCTCTGCTCGCCAACACGAGCCGCCCTGATCACCGGCCGCAATCACCACTCGGTAGGATTCGGGGTGATCGCCGAGCAGGCCACCGGGTTCCCCGGCTACGACAGCATCATCGGCGTAGACAATGCCACCATTGGCCGTATTCTCCGCGACAACGGCTACGCGACAAGCTGGTTCGGCAAGGATCACAACACGCCGTCCTATCAGGCCAGCCAGGCCGGACCGTTCACGCAATGGCCCACCGGCATGGGCTTCGATTACTTCTATGGATTCGTGGGAGGCGACGCCAACCAGTGGGGGCCGAATCTGTTCCGCAATACCACGCAGATCTATCCCTTCAACGAGCACAAGGGCACTTTGAAGATGGATCGGTCGGACCCCAATGCGAAGATC